GAAAGAATAAATAAAATTGATAAACCCTTAGCTAACCTTATCAAAAAAAAGTAAAGAAAAAGCTCAAATACAGGCAATTAGGAACAAAAAAGGTGAAATCACAACAGATCCAGCAGAAATCCAGAGGATCATAAATACCTACTTCAAGAACCTGTACTCTAATAAAATGGAAAACACAGAAGAAATGGAGAGATTTCTAGATAAATATGAATTACCAAAGTTGAATGAAGAAGATATAAAAATCCCAAACACCCAATTACAATCAGTGAAATTGAAAATGTAATTAAAAATTTACCAACAAGGAAAAGTCCAGGTCCTGATGGCTTCACTGCTGAATTCTACAAGACATTACAGAAGAACTATTGCCACTACTCTTTAAACTCTTCAATGAAATTGAAAGGGAAGCAATACTTCCAAATTCATTCCGGGAAGCAAGTATTACATTGATTCCAAAACCAGGGAAAGACCCAATGAGAAAAGAGAACGACAGGCCAATCTCCCTAATGAACATAGATGCAAAAATCCTCAACAAGATACTGGCAAACAGAATACAGAAGGTCATCAAGAAGATCGCACACCCTAACCAAGTCGGATTTATCCCAGGCATGCAAGGATGGTTCGACATATATAAATCAATCAATATAATGTAATATACTATATTAACAGAGTCAAGGACAAAAATCATATGATCATCCCAATAGAGGCAGAAAAAGCATTCAATAAAATTCAACACCCATTTATGATAAAAGCCCTGCAGAAAACTGGAATAGAAGGTTTTTATCTCAACCTGATAAAGGCTATTTATGAAAAACCAACAGCCAACATCATACTAAATGGTCAAAAACTGAAAACCTTCATGCTAAAATCAGGAACAAGACAAGGATGTCCACTATTACCACTCCTTTTCAATATAGTTCTTGAAACATTAGCCACGGCAATTAGACAAGAGAAAGAAATAAAAGGAGTAAATATAGGAAACAAAGAAGTTAAATTGTCATTATTTGAGTTGATGATATGATACACTACATAGAAGACCCTAAAACTCTGCCATAAGATGTGTAGACTTCATTGACAGATTCAGCAGAGTAGCTGGATACAAGGTCAACACTCAAAAATCAATAGCCTCCTTGTACACAAATAACAGACTCACCGAAAGAGAAATTAGGGAAACAATCCCTTTCACAATAGCATCCAAAAAAATAAAATATTTAGGAATCAAACTAACACAGGAAGCAAAAGACCTCTACATTGAAAACTAGAGCGCTCTAAAAAAGAGATCAAAGAGGATATAAGAAAATGGAAAGACATCCTCTGTTCCTGGGTAACAAGAACCAATATAGTGAAAATGGCCATACTTCCAAAACTGCTATACAGATTCAATGCAATCCAGATTGAAATCCTAACAGTATATTTCCCAGAACTAGAGAAAACAATCTAAAAGTTCATCTGGAACCAGAAGAGACCTAGAATAGTAAAAGCAATTCTAGGCAACAGAGACATGGCAAGGAGTATCATAATTCCCAACTTGAAACTGTACTACAAAGCCACTGTGATAAAAACAGCATGGTATTGGCAAAGAAACAGACCCGAGGATCAGTGGAATAGATTAGAAGATGCAGAAACAACTCCAGACATACTCAGCCACCTCATCTTTGAGAAAGGAACCAACCATCCCAACTGGACAAAACATAGCCTCTTTGATAAATGGTGATGGAAAAACTGGATTTCAACTTGCCAAAGATTAAAACTAGACCCATATCTATCACCATGCAATAAACTAAAATCGAAGTGGATTAAAGATCTAAATATTAAAACAGAAACACTAAACTTGCTGGAAGATAAGTTAGGTAGAACTCTCAAAGACACTGGCATAGGAAAGGACTTTATGAAGAAATCCTTCCATAGCACGGGAAGTAGCACCAAGAATCAACAAGTGGGATCTCATCTTTTCCTCCTTGTTTTTTTTTTTTTGGTACCGGGGATTGAACACAGGACCCTGCACTTGCAATGCAGGCGGGGGAACCACTGAGCCAAACCCCTGGCCCAGGATCTCATCTTATTAAAAAGCTTCTGGACTGCAAGAGAAACCACCAACAGAGCTAAGAGAAAACGTACAATGTGGGAAAATATTTTTACCAGCTGTTCCTCAGACAAAGGTCTACCATCTATTATATATAAAGAACTAAAAAAATCAGATCCCCCAAATATGAAGACCCAGTTCAAAAATGGGCATCTGAAATGAACAGACATTTCTAAGACAAAAAAGTAAAAGCAGCAAATAAACATATGAAAAAATGTTCAACCTCACTTGTCATTTGAGACAGGCAAATGAAAACAATTTTGAGATTCCACCTCACCCCACAAAGAATGGCTGCTATCAAGAAATTAACCAGTATCAAATGCTGGCGGGGCTATAGGGAGAAAGGAACCCTTCTCCATTGCTGGTGGGAGTACAGACTGGTGCAACCACTGTGGAAATCAGTATGGAGATACCTCAAAAAACTAGGATTAGAGGTCTCATTTGACCCAGCTATTCCTCTGCTGTGTATCTTCCCAAAAGAATGAAAAGAATCACACCACAGTGATATATGCGCATCCATGTTTATAGCAGCACAGTTTGTAATAGCTAAAACTTGGAAACAGCCCAATTGCCCATCAACTGGAGACTGGATAAATAAGATATGGTTTTTTTATAAAATGGAGTACTACTCAGCCATAAAGAGTGAGAAACTAGAGACATTTATAGCTAAGTGGATGCCCATTGAGGCCATATTCTTAAGTGAAATAAATAGGACACACGTGTAAATACTGAATAGTTTCTCTGTATGAAAAACTAAAAATGTAAATAAAGATCAAAATGTATAATTGATATTGTGAAATAGGAAGAAAATGTTTAAAGGAATAGGGGAAGTGGGAGGGAAAGGGGAAAGGAAAGGGAAAAGGAAAAAACATGGAAACAAAGTCTTCTAAATAGGGAAGGGTGGAAAGGGTCAAGGGAGGACAGGGGAATAGGGAAAAAATTAGAACCAAGATACATTATGTAAAGGTACAAGATTCCAACGATGAATGTAACTGTATTGTATACCTAAAATGTACCAATAAACTAAATACAAAAAGAAAAGCAGACAATAACAAGTGTTGACACTAATGTGGAAAATACTGGAACTCTTATACATTGCAGGTTGGATGTAAATAGTACAGTGGTACAGCCAATTTGGAAGTTTGGCAGTTCCTCAAAATGTCAAAAAGTTAAAACCTGATACATTAATTCCTCTCCCACGTATATATGAGAGAAATGAAAACATGTCTTAAAACCACATACATAAATGTTTACAGCAATTTATTCATTATAGGTAAAAATCAGCAAACAAAAAAAATCTATAAAGTCCTGGAGGTAAACAATACCATGTTAGAGGCTTAAGGGAGGGTATGGTGTGGAGAGCGGTGTTAGCCATAGAGGATCCATGTTTAATCTTACCCTCCATAATATAGAGCAAGGAGACTATGTTATGAGGAACCACGTACTTGCCGAATTAGATTGCCCTAGAACGTGATGAACGTTCTGTAAGCCCGAGAAACAAGGAAGCCCATGAGGGTGGGGAATTCCCAAAGAACTGGTAAACAACGAAGCAGGTGTTTTGGATAAAGGTCATGGTTAATGACCTAACTCACTGAGTGTATAAAAGAGAGGTGAAAATAAACTTGCTTGCTCGGTCTTGGGAGCCCTCCCGACTCTATCTCTGTGTCTTTCTTTAGGCTCGGTCTTTGTGGGCCCTCCTGTCTCTCTGTTTCTTCTTTCTCAATCCTCACGTCCCCACTCAGGTCTTGTTCGACAGGTTGCGGCCGGACCGCGACAATATGGGATAAAATTAAGTAAAATTTAATTCAAAAAAACAAACAAAATACATAGAATACAGCATGTAAGGGTGAGGGAAGGGAAGAAGACCTACTAGGCAAGGTCTCAAACTTGCCAAAACTCACAATCAGGTTAGACTTTAACCTAACAGCAACAGGGGACCGTCAGAGTGTCTCAGGCAAGGAATAAACATGAGCTTGGTTCTTTTACAAAGATCACTTTAGCCTCATATTAAAAAATGTACTGCAGAAAACCAATACTGGAAGCAAGAAGACCAGAAAGGACCAGATACATTATTCCAGTGAAAGAGCTTGATAATTAGGACAGTGTGGTTGAATGCATGTGGATGGCTTTTAGAGATTTAGGATAGGAAACTGACAGAGTTTGATGTAGGGGCTAAGAGTGAGAATCAAGACCACGATCGAGATTTTCAGCTTACACACTCAATAAGGTGGACATGACTAAAGAGCTTTTTTTGTAAAAAGAGTTCAGTTTTATACATATTAAGTTTGAGCATCTAATAGAACATCCAATCAAGGCTGTCCAATAGGTACCTAGCCTAGAAGCACAAACAAAAGATCTGGGTATCAAATACAAATTTGACAGTCATCAGTATAGTAACTGTAACTAAAGCAATGAGAATGGGTAAGATTGTACAACTGGGTTACTACAAACTGTGAATAATGTTAGTTACAGCATGAGCAGAGGACTGGAAGGTAGCTCAGTGGTAGAGCAGTTTCCTGTCATTTGCTAAGGCTTAAGGACTGATCCCCAGCACTGGAAAAAAAAAAACAACTTAAAAAGTAGACTAAGAAATAGTCTAAGAAGCATGAATAAAATCTGAAGAATAGTTTGTGAAGCTAAGAATGGAGAATGTTTCAAAAAGAAATACACAACATGTCAAAGCTGAAGTAAGATAAAATGTGAGAAGTGTGTATCATGGACTTGGAAGCCAAGGAGGGTTTTATCCATTTCAACAGTTTGAGAAGTTGGTGAATATTAAAGTACTGAAAATAAAACATTTAAACAATTCTTGAACTGATATAAAAGTTTTAAAAAGATGGAACACATACTTACACTGATTACTATGTTACAACCATACATATTAAACCAGATATAGAACACAATAAAACAGAAAACCTACTTTTGTAAGCAGTATTATGGTTTCAAAAGCAGTTCTGTACTGAGTTTGGGAAGAAAGCTGAAATCCAGAAATATCAACCTAAAAAAAGAGAGAGAGGGAATGGAAGAGACAGTTAACACAAGAATGGTTACACTTTTCTATGTTTTGAAATGTTTTACTCAAGCTAAAAATAATTTTCAATCTGCTGATAATTCAGTAATTCACAGTAACAGAACTGAAGCATCAAAATAACTATAATTATTCTGGTAAAATGATACTCATTAATAAGAATTCATAATAATATAATCTCATCTATAACTCAAGCACCATCAATAGTTATATGAAAGAGATATATAATGTAATAATATGGCAGAATTCTTAAGGAATGAAACCTTCACAATTATGACTAAACTTGTCTGATAACAGTAACAGTATCATTTCCATCCCCATATTACATAAACAAAATTACTGTATGTACTCGTCCATCTGAATATTTAGTGAAGTGATATATGTTAGTAGTCATGCATCACCTAGCCACAGGGACATGTTCTCAGAGATCTATCAGTAAGTAACTGCATCACTGTGTGAACATCACAAATCATATTCACACAAATTAAGATATAATGTCACTAGACAATACAATCTCATGAGCCCTCTATATGTTATATGCAGACCATCTCTAACAAAAATGTGATTTTGTGGCACACAACTGCATTTTATTTCATAATTATTTTAAAATCTTACTTATAAAACATTCCTAGGAAAACTAAGTTCACTCATTTCAACATCACGTTGGTATGCATATGACTTACAACAAAAAGTAGTTGTCTAGTTCTTTCTATGTGCTTCAGGAATTTGTGGCCCATTCCTTTGTTCATATGTGCTCCTTCTATCAAACCTGGGAGATCAGCTACTGATATCTAATACAGAGTTAACAATATAATAAAAAATATTAAAATCACAGTTCACTTATATCCCAAAATTTTTATAATATTTCAAATACAATCATGAGTTACAATTCCCACTACATCTTTGAAATGCCAAGATACCTTTACAGCAAAATAAATGTGTTAAGCATCAAAATCCTTTGTTATCAGATATTAGAGTCCCATTTTAACTTATTCATCAAACAGTCTAGGGATCTGGGGTATTAGTTTATTACTTTTACATTTACTAATCACATAAATCTATACCTCCATAAACTGCTGTATGATTTTTTATAGAATTTTAATTTTTACAATCTGAATTCATTAAAGTTTGTAAGAATATTAGGCAGACATTTACTAAGTATAATTCAGTAGTTCTAAGTTTTAAATTCAATTTGTAAGTAGTATCAATGTTCCTTTTCTGTTCACATTATATCAGCAGAATTACTACTGACTGTTCTTTCAAAATATAAGGATACATTATTCCTATACTCTTTTTAGAAGTAATAAGAATGAGTGCAGAAAGGGATGAAAAGTAGTAGTTTTATAGGCACTGCTCAGTGTGGATAAGAAATCCAAAGTCTTAAAAGGAAACTGAGGCTATATGACAAACGAGTGGGCCCACAGAGTCTCAGGACCTCAAATTTCCTTCAGAGGTTCTCTTCTCTTTTAAATCAAGTCAGAGAATTCTATAAACTGACATGAATACGTCATTATCACCTAAAGTCCATATTTTACATCAGGGTCCATTCTTGGTTGTGTACATTTTAAGTGTTTTGACAAATGTATACTATTATCCACTTGTACAGTCTCATACAGAATAGTTCTGTTGCCCTAAAAATGTTCTGTACTCTGCCTTCTCATTCCTCCTTCCTGCTGGCAACCACTGATCTTTTTTGCTTTTTCTACAGTTTTTTTCAGAAATGTCATACAGTTCAAATTAAAGTGTTTGTACCCTTTTCAGATTGGCATCTTTTGTTTATAATGTGCATTCAAGGTTCTTACATATATTTTCATAAGCTGAATATCCCACTTCATAGATATAACAGTTTGCTTATTGATTTACCTACTGAAAGGTATTTTGGTTGTTTCCAAGTTTCAATAATTACGAATAAAGCTGCTAAAAACATCCAAGTGCAATATTCTATGTGGACATAAAGAAGATCCATAGCTCTTCCTTATTAAGGAAAAATTAATAACTAGATGATATTAAATCCTATTAAACTTTCCCCCCCAAAATAAAAATTAAAATAAAATAATTTCCATTAACTTTAGAAAGTGTTTTTAGGAAATGGGCAATAATCCACTATGGTAGTAAAACAGAAATTGTAATGAGAACAAACAGATGAAGAAGATACAATGAAGACATGATATTGTAGGGCATAACATCTGGAAACACAGCATCAAACCCTTACATACATGTGTACTATGATGGTGCCCAGCAGAATTAATAAAAGCACAACTTCACTTGGCATAATAAAAAAAATCTTAACTTTTTTTCACTTAGCACCACAGAAACAGGCAAATATAGTATTATGAAGTCCTAGTACTAAAGGACTTCCACTTCTAATCAAGTCTTTTACTTTAAAAATAATCACCTGTTTGAAATCATCATACATAATCTTTCCAAGTTCAGGCTTTAAAGTTGTAACTGAAAAGAAAAACAACAAATTAAGGGTAAAATAAAGGCAGGTTCTTTTAAAACTGCCTTAGCCTTATGTACAGAAATAAATAGTATTTTGTTTCTGTAAACAGTTTAATTCATATTTTTTTCTAATTTGTTGAAATGGAAGCTACAATTATCTTTGCCATTTGCAATATACTTGAAAAAGGACAAACAGCGATTTCAGTATCTGTACAGGCACAAGCCTCATCTAATTGAGCCTCAAAATTCCATCCATTACACTTTAAATGATATTTGGAGGGCTCAGAATTTAAGTTTCTACAGTTAAGTGTGGAGGTGAAGAATATCCCTTTCTAATTCAGTTATTCCTTTCTTTATCTTTTCTTTTTTTTTTTTTGGTACTAGAAATTGAACTCAGTGCCTCACTCTTGCCAGGCAGGCGCTGGGCTGCTGAGCTACATTCGCAGCCCTAATTCAGTTACCAATCCTACACTAGCCTTTCCTATGCCTTTTTTAATTTCCTCCTCTTCACAAGAGTCCTATGTATTAGAATATTGCTCATGTAATTTGTAGCAATTAGTATAAAATTAACCCTTATTTAGTCAAAGTCTAGTTTTGGTTTTGTTGTTTTTTTGAGATGGAATCTCACTATGTAGTTCAGGCTGGCCTTGAACTCACTATGAAGTCCAGGGTGGCCTCAAACTCATGGTGATCCTCCTGCCTCAGCCTCTCAAGTACTTGGATTATAGGCATGTACCACCACACCCGGGTAGAGTCGTTTTTTTGGATGCCTTAATTTTATTTTCCAGGTTAATGTCATTCTATGTCTTTTTAATAATGGCAGAGATCCTATCATATTCATTCACTCTTAATCTAAGTTTTCATTATCTCTCTCACTCGAATATTAACTCGATTATTCATCATATCTCAGCCCAAGCACCATACTTCCTCAAAGGATATCTAAAGCAGTCACCTACACTCTGTCATAGAACACTTTCATATTCCTATATATTTATTGGTGATACGTATGCTTCCCCCACTCCTTTTGGACCTTGTGCTTGCAAGGCAGGCATGGTGCCACTGAACTAAATCTCGGGCCCTTTCCCCCACTCTTTGTTAGCACAACTAATGTCAGAATATTAGCTGATTTTGCTTACTATTTTTTGTAACCCTGTAACTTCACGTGGTTCCCAGAAATTTATTTGCTAAATAAATAAAAGTATTATTTCTGCCTTCCTAGTACTTATCACAGTGCTTGAGAAAAGGTAAATAGCTTACAAAATCCTAACGAAACCAAATTAATGACTGTGCGACAGAGAATTAAATGCAATACAGTATCTAACAAGTACAAGAAACATTACTGAGTGCTACAGAGGTTCAAAGATTAATAAAAAGAAAGTCAATGTATTCTAATTGCCAAAAGAAGTTTTCTAACTAAGGCTACCCATGGAGTTGTCAGTTTACTTTTTATTTATTTATTTATTTTTTGGTACTGGGGATTGAACTCGGGACCCTGTGCTTGCGAGACAGGCAGCAGAACCACTGAGCTAAATCCCCGGCCCTGTCAGTTTATTTACATTCAGAGAAAAATTAGTCTTTAAAAATTTACCTTCACACATTAAAATATATAATCAAATTATACTTACATGCATAATCTGCAATTTCAGGTTTTGCATGAGAAACCTGACTTAGCAAAGAGGATTTTCCAGCATTGGGGAATCTGAAATAATTAAATACAACTACGCATTACAATAAATATCAATATTACTCACATTTGCTTATTTCTGAATTGAAAAAGACTTCTTGCATACCCCTGGGGTTAACAGATTACACAGGCTGGGAGTGCAGCTCAGCGATAAAGTATACACTCAGTATACACAAGTATACACTCAGTATACACAATAACCAGCAACCCCCCCCGCCCCCGGCCCAAAGAGAGTAGACCATAAATCTAAAAAATCTCGAACAAACTTATTTTTTGGAGAACAAAATGTACTTTTTTGAACAAAAGTATACTTTTTCATCATGCTAGATACTGAAGATGTTTCAGAATTGTGAGTAAAATAATTGTTATTCTTAATTATGTAAAAAAGAAATCTTGAAAAACAACAAAAAAAGAAATTTTTTTAAAAACCCTGCAATTCACATTTTCAAACTTATGCAAAAGCAAGGAAGAGTACTGAATCCCATGTAGTAATCATCTAACTTTAACAAATATTAACACATTGCCAGTACAATTTTTAAATTTAGTTTGTTTGAACAGACACCCAGATACAGTACATTTAAATTAGCTGATTTGTCTCTTTAAATCTCTTTTGATATAAATTCTCTCTCCATTTGCAATTTACTTTTAATAAAACTGTGTCATTGTTTCTTTTTCAAACAGTCTGGATTTTTCTACTGGCATCTCCATGGTATTGCCTGGATTTTGTATTTGGTAGTTATAAAGTATTGACAGAAAAATTAAAAAGCTACTTCATACTTGTTTGGTGTGGTTTTTAACTTAATAATATAAGGTGACAACTTTCAAGGCAAACTGTAACATACTTAACTAATTGTAATTAATGTTTGGGATTATACATAACATTATAAAAATATGCCAGACACAGTTCTGCATACCTATAATCCCAACTACCTGAGAGGCCTAGGTAGGAGGATTAAAAGTTTGAGGTCAACCTGGAGTTAAATTAGACCCTGTCCCAAAATAAAAAAGGCTGGAATGTAGCTCAATGAGAGAGCGCTTGCCTAAACATGTGCCAGTCCCTGGGCTCAATCCCCAGTGCTAAAAACAAACAAAAATGTATACAGCTAAAAGGACATACAGTTTTAATGATCATTTCTTTTTTTTTTTTTTAATGATCACTTCTGAGTATTGTTATGGTTTGGGTCTATATGCCTCCTCAAAGCCTCATGGGGTCAGAGGTGGTTAAATCTAACTGTGTGATGCTGGGGTTAAGAGCCTGTGATTACTAAATCAATACACTGATTGGTTTGGCACTGCCCTAATCTCAGTAGTCTGGATAAAAGAGGGACAGAAATGTTCCCTTGCTTGCTTGCTTTTGCTGTCTTCAACCGCCATGAACTGTTGCTCCTCTGTCATGCCACCCAGCCTTGGGGCCAGCCGATTATGGACTGAAATCTCTACTGTGAGCTAAATAAACCTTTTCCCCTTTAACTTTGGAAGTTGGATATTTTGTCTCAGCAACAAGAGAAAAATAATTACAACATGTATTATTGGTCTACTTTTTTTCTAAAGACCTAAAGTTACTATCCTTAAACCTTTGCACATATCTTCAATCTCTTTCTTGGAATAAATTTCTAGACAAGGAAATACTGGCTTAAAATCTGTATTCATTTTAAAGACTGTTGATTTTATTTTGGTAAGTTGTGCTCAGGAAAGTCCACCATGTATTTAAAAAGTACCAAGAATAGGGGTCACTTAAAAAGATTTTTTTTCCCTAAATCTCGATAACATCAAATTTATCCAACAAATTGACTTTGTGTCAGGGAGCATTAGAAAATACAACAATGAAAGCCCAGCATGGTGGTGATGGTGGTGCGTGCCTATAATCCCAGCACTCTGGAGGGTGAGGCAGAAAGATCACTAAGAGTTCAAGGCCAGCCTGGGCTACATAGTAAGACTCTGTCTCAAACAAAGACACAAACAAACAAAAAAAACCAAGCCAATACAATAATGATACAAACATGAACCTTTGCCTTCAGAGTTTTCATTCACATTTAAGGAAACGCTTTTCCTTTTTATAACATTAAAAAATTTTTAAAATTTTTATGCTGGCAAGGCTGTGGGGGGAAAAAGGGGTCCTTCTCTACTGGTAGTAAGAATGTGAATTGGTACAACTACTATGGAAATCAGTATAGAGATTCCTCAAAAAACTAAAACTAGAGGTTCCATTTGACCCAGCTCTTTCCCTTCTGGGTATCTTCCTGAAAGAGTTAAAGACATCATATTACAGTGATACATGCATACCCATATTTATAGCAGCACAATTCATAATAGCTAAATCCTGGACACAGCCCATATGCCCATCAACAGATGAATAGATAAAGAAAATATGGTATTTATATACAATGGAGTGCTACTATGCCATAAAGAAGGATAAAATTGAGTCATTTTTAGGTAAACAGATGCACCTTGAGAATATAATCTTAAGTGAAGTAAATCAGACACACAAGTTTAAATACTAATTTTTTCTTTTGTGTGAAACTCAAAATATAAATAAGGAGAAAAATGGAGGATAGATATTAAGAAGCAGGAAGAATATTTTTCAAATGGTAAGGGGAACAAGAGATGGGGAGGGGAGAAGGAAGGAAGGGAAAAAAGATTTAAAGGAAAAAGCTAATTGAAAAAAATGGAAATAAAGCTTTTGTAAATGCGGAGGGGAGATATGTTGTGTACATGTACAAATCCCCCATGATGAATGTGATCATTATGTACAGCAAACATGTACTCAAAAATAAATTATAAAAAATTTAAAAATGTTTTATTTTTATGAGTACATTTTGTGATATGCAATGATTACACTCATTGTGGGGAGTTGGTACATTGGTACATATCTTTTTTATCCATCTATTTGTTGATGGACAAATAGGCCAAGGAAGCTCTTCTTTCAAAAACTGCCAGGCTTTCTTGGGATAATGGTATACCTTGAAAATATCCCTTTGGAATTTTATAAAAATCTGTAAGCTCTGCAATGGAGCTATTTTAATAATTTTCCTCATAAAGTTTGGTGTTGAATTATGTGAGATTTCTTAATGATTTGTTTCTCCTAGGACATAAATTATTTTCCCATATCCCATTTCACTCATGTTTTCGACAGCAAATTGCAAGCATTTTTGTCCATGAGCATAAACTAGCTAAACTAGCTTATTTTCTTTCAATTATCCTCATGTTTTCATAATAATGGTTAAACTCAGAAAAATTCAAGCAGCTATTTCCAAGGAAATCAAAGTATGACTAAAAGAATGCTCGTGGATGAAGAACATATATTTGAAATTTTTCTTCAAAACTACACAATGAAAATTTTAGAGGCTGAAATGCAAAGATCAGATTTGACAACAGCAGAGTACAGTGTATTAGTTCTTCTCAGATTCAGTTCATTCCTCAAACTAGCTAAAAGGCTATCTACTTTCACTGGTATTCATAGTAGCAGCTTCAAGAATAGCTGTCTTGGGCCGGGATTTGGCTCAGTGGTTTTGCCGCCTGCTGTGGAAGCACAAGGACCTGAGTTCGATCCCTGGTACCAAAAAAAAAAAAAAATAGCTGTCTGATTTTAAAACCCTAGAATATATTTATTAAACATTTTGCTTAACAATTGTGATGCATTCATTACTGAATGTAATTTAAAATTCACTTCTGAAAAGCCCAGTATTTCCCTATATGAAGTCTCCAATAAATCAGCAATACAAAGATGATGATGATGATAGAAGCTATAATTCATTGGGTATACACAAATGCAAAGCATGTGTTCCACTGTAAATCTAACACTTTACTCACCAATGTTTAGGGTAAAACCATCTCTAGGCACTATTAAAGATGACCTAAAGGAAGCTTGTGAAGGCTGTGTAACTTACTGACACCAATTGGCTTTTATTGCTGTATTTTCTAATGCTGCCTGATACAAAGCCAATCCTTTGGAGGATTTGAGATGCTAACCCCGTCTATCCTGAGTTCCCCACTTTTATTACTCAGTTTTGCTATGCTCTTTTTCATCTGTAAAGATGTCTCTTTGGAATATGAAACACATTTTTCTACCAAATGAGATGGTAAATCGCGGGATTGCCAGTCTTATCAACAAAACCCTATTAAACCCACAATATTCCTGAAAAATACAGAGGATTATAGAATCTATGCCGCATAGTTTTCATAACTGTGTTTGTTAAAAAAAAATTAAATGTGAATGGCAAGCCAGGATCAGAATGAGGCCTCTGCGAACTTTAAGTGAATGGTGGTTAAGAGCCAGTGGCTGGTCAGGCAGGATAAGAAGTAAGGGATTTAGACTTTAAGAGTCTGGTAAAGAAGCAGTGAGATAGCTGGAGGGGAGTATCAAAGAGATAGATAGATTGACTGATTGATTGACTGGTACCGGGGATAGAATTTGGGACCTTGAGCTTGCCAGGCAGGTGCCGGAACCACTGAGCGAAATCTCCAGCCCCCAAAGAGATCTTTTTAAAAAGCAAGAAACAACTAGAATTTTGGAGTAGAGGAGCAGGGGACAGTTTTCCCTTTTCCTTAAGCCTTCCATTTGAGCAACTGTAATGCTATAGTGGAGGACCCCAAAGAGGAAGCAAGAAAGAAGACAAGCTATTTGAAGTTTTACCTTCCTTTACTGTCTTGCCTTCTGTCTCCCTTCAATGTCCATCAGCCCTGCAAACCCCACAGCTAAACAGCACTGCTTAGCAAAAGAATGGAGACTGGCGAAAGAGAAGAATACTGAGGCCTGCAGTTCTCAGAACAGGTGATTCTAAGCAGAAGCATAAGGACACAGAAACAGTGACAGCAAGAGCTGATTCAATGCCCAGAAGGGTGTAAGTCTGAAGCATGAGACTGCCTCTATGGGTCACTGGGCATTAGTTTAATGCTAATTTCAATCTACTTACACTCTCAAAAATATCTCAATCACATTCCCCTTCTTTTAATTTCCTTCTGCATACTTCTGTTTTTGAAACAGGGTCTCACTGTGTAGTCCAGGCTAGCCTCAAACTCATGGTGATCCTACCTCAACCCCCCCAGTGCTGGAATTACAGACATGCACCACCATGCCTTGCTCTCCTATATACTTTTGGGTGTAGTTTGTTTGGATTTCTAACTTTGTATCTGATAACATTCTTTAACCTTATTGTAAAATTGTTTTTAATTATATTTAAAACATCCCTTAGCACATCTAGTCAGTAGTGTTGCTGATCAGTGGATTTTTCCTGTATGGTGCTATGGCAAGAGATTTCTTAATGTCTACTACTACACTTTCATTCAGTCCTTGATTATTCATGATTATAGTGGGAATATATGAATTTTTTAAAAAAGCAGCCTAACTTCAATTTAGTCATAAACATTAGCTGAGAAACTCTGAGTTTTGGTAAATAAAAATTGACTGATCAATTTTTTAAAATCCATTCAACATCCTACTGGCCTATTCAATTGCTCTGCTCTTCCTTTTACAAATGAATAGTAACCAGGAAACTCTTATTTTGAGAATTTGAAAATAACTATAGCTGACTCTTAACAGCACAAGTTTGAACTACAAGGGCCCACTGAAACACAGATTTTTTTGGAGGATTGGAAATCAGCAAAAATTTGTAAAAACTTGCAGATGAAAGGCATAGCACAGACAAATTGTAAAAATTAAGAAAAAGGTATATCATGAATACATAATCTATTTTATTATTTTTACATAAAATATACCCAAATCTACTATAAAGTTAAAATTTATCACAACTTTATGCATGCAAAGAATGTACATGGCACCATTTGCAGTCAAGAAAAATGAATATTAAATCATAACTGGAAAATACTGGCTGTAGTACACACTGAAGTACTGTAATATTTTCAGTTGCCTCCTGTTGTTACTGAAGTGTGCTCAAGTGTTGCAAGTATGTGTTTAAAATGTCAGGTAATGCTAAACATCTCCACATGAGCAGTTCATCTCTCCAGTGAACTGCAGATCACAGTAAAAAGTGATTTCACACAAGTCAGGCAAGGTGGAACATGCCTGTAATCCCACCACTCGAGAGGCTCAGGCAGGAGGATTGCTATGAGTTCAAGACCATTCTGAACTACATAGCAAGACTGTGTCTTAAACAATCCCCCATCCTGCAAAGTGATTTCACAGTTCCTGTATTTTTCATGATATATAGTACATGTAACATACAAAATATGTGTTAACTGTTTATGTTATTTATAAGGTTTCTAGCCAACAAACAAGCTAGTAGAAGCTAAGTTTTGGAGAAAGCAAAAAGTTACACGCAGACTTTTGACTGCAGGGGGAGTCGTGTTGGGACCAGCACCCCAATTTTCCATTGTTCAATGGTCAACTATATATTTAATTATATGTCCTCTAAGTACACTCAGCCTACAAATTCTACAAACTAGACATAATTCTCCTTCCAAATTACTAATGCTATTTATAAAGTGCAATAAAAATATGAATAGTACTTACCCGACTAGTCCTACATCAGCTATAAGTTTTAGGTCAAGGTGAATCACTCGTTTCTGGCCTTTCAGTGGTAAGAAATTTGTAAGTAGTTTACCACCAAGGCCACCTTCAGCTACCAAAATTCTGTCTTCCTCCTTATTGAGTTCTCCTTTAAATGAGAATGAAAATATACCAAAGATAAATAATACATTGTATTTTTCTTTCATAATGCATGCTAAGAAATTGCAGTTTACATAAAAGACTAAACCACAGGACTAAATTTCTTTTAAAATTCTGACACTCTAAAGTTAGGGGGATAGCTGAAAGGTAGGGTGCTTTTCTAGCACTTATAAGACCCTGGTTCAATCCCCAAAAGCACTAAAAAATAAAAAAAATTTTAAAAAAATCTGACCCTAGAAAATGCTTTTTGCAAGCAGTTGAAAAGAGATTAATTATGTTTTTAAAACCAAGTACTTTTATAACTTTAAAGTAATTTAAATCAGTAAATTTACAAGAATTTTAACATGTCTTAAAAAGCTCTAAAAATTAGATAAAATTATTAATGTTAAAAAAAATTCCTCTGACCTGGCCAGGGATTTAGCTCAGTGGCACTGTGTCTACCTCGCAAGCACAAGGTCCTGAGTTTGATGGGGGGGGGGGGGATATTCTTCTGAAACCCAAGAGAGGCTATTCTTGAAAACCCCCAAGTTTGGAAAATGTGCACATTCTTCACAACCTTAGAAGCTACAGTATACTCACCTATAATTTTACCATTTTCATCAGTTACTGAAATACCAACAGGTACAGGGATTTCACAGTCTTTTCCTTTGGAACCTTTCAGAGCACTAATCCTACTCTCCAAAAGAATAAACAAACAAAAAATTCTAAATTAAAACATGAAAACCTACTGAGACCAATAGTTTACGTTTCTAGCATATATAATGCTTTATAAACATAAAAAACAAACAATTCCTCTGGTTAATGCACACATTAAATGATTATATATTAAAGGAAAACTAAAATTATTCCTATATGTTGCATTTTAGACTACTATATTCTATAAAAACGGTGATAAATGATGATTTAAATTACTACCAAAAGTCATCTTAACCCAAAATGAGCTAAGATACTGCACCTCTGAAATGAAGAGGTCATTGTTACAATACAAATACACAAGAGGAAAAAAACCATGAAAATCCCCTGAATAATGAAACTGAAAAAAAAATTGATCTCAAGAGTACTTAAGCTAATCTGGCCACTTTCAAATTGCTCTTAAGAGAATAAGTTGGTACAAAATTCTTACTAACTCCACCCCTGGGAATTTATTTTTTTAAAAACCCATTATTTAAAAGGTATCTACATAAGTTCAATAATAGGCAAATACTAATTCCTAGACTATCATATTATATAACACCCTAAATAAGTTTCTGACATAAAAAAAGTTAAATAAAGAGGTTGAAAATATTATGCTGGGTTTTTTGGGGGGGGTGTTGGTCTTCATAAACATACACATAATTACATTAGTATAAACACACAGAAAAATTAAAAAGTTTATCATGGTTATCTCTAGGTGGCGAAATTATAGATGATTGACTTTTGATGGTGGTAGAGTACAGTACCTCAGTAGAAATTTGAGAAAGGGTTTATGTTTGTCCAAGATAAATTTAGAAGAAAACAGTGGGGATTCAGATCATTTTTTTGTCTCTACAGAGGAAGTGAAGAAAAGAATTTACCAACACTGGGAGGACAAATTAATACAAAATTTAAGAACTCCAGAATATTTATACCAGCTTTTCATGTGTTTACAAATTTTAGATGTTTACGTAGTTATAAATACACAAAATTTACTTCAAATTACCAATTAACTTTTATCTTGTAATTTTTTTCTTCTAGAAGGGTTTGATTTATAAATTACTTACCGACTGTTTGTTCCTCCTCCAGCCACAAACCGTTTCTGAGGATATTTGTCTTTCAGTTGTTTTAAAGTCATTTTTTTATGGGCTACAACCCAGACGTCACCACCTTTCCCACCTTCTCCACCTAAGCGAGGGTAACCCATGCCACCACTTCCTCCTTTGGTGAAGAGTCTTAGGTTATCAATGAAATTTCCATACTTAGAGAGAGAGAGAGAGAGAACATTTTCACACCAAATGTTTACCAAATTAGTGAACTCCTTTCTAGTTCTGTTCCACTAAAACTTCTTTTAAAAAAGAATCAATAATGGCTTTCTGTATGCCCATTCTACTGCAGTTTCTTAGCTCACCTCCCTCTCCCCTGTATCTCTCTTAGGATTCTCTTTCTCAATAATCAAATACTGTTCCATCTATCCTCAGTCTCACACCTTGGTCCTCTTTTCATCCTAAACTTTCCTCCTAGGTGATCTCAGCTTGGGCTATCACCTAAGTGAGATACTTTCAATGCCTAAATTGTTGGACATTTCCATCAGGATGTAAGCTTGTAACAGTTTTAAAAAACAGAGAGCAGGACCTGTATTTCAAAAATTTCTCAAATATGTAACCTCTTGGTGGGTATCAGTTGACAAGATAATGGTCACCTCGAAAACAAAACTGCATTCCCCCTTCACACTCCCACAAAATCTGTTCCAGCAATGTTCCCTTAAATAATGAAATCTGTTTATCTATTCATTGAGATTACACAAATGAATGTCTTTCAGACTGTACCTGTTTCTTTCCCAGAAGCCCTGGTAACTCTCTCCTTTCCAGTACTACTGCTCTAGAACTTGACCAACATTACGTTCTAAAAGGGTTTTCAGTGTCTACTCACTCCTTAGGTAATAATACATCTTCCAACTTGTTGCTAAGAGCTATTTTCTGAAATGGATCTGATCTATAATTATGTTTTCCCTCTACTCAAAAACCATCTGTGGTTTTACTGTTTATGAAATGAAGTTTAAAATTCATCGTACTATGTTCAAAGCCCTTACTCCACCCTTCCAGTATCATTTTCATTTATTCAACCCCTTCCATTCTCCCCATCCTTTTGCTTTTATACATGATATACTGCTATGTCTCCATGGCACCCTGCACGTGCTTTTCCTCTCGGTAGAATGTCGTTTGTTCTTTTCTACTGAAAATCCACATTAATGTTATTTTTTTCACTGTACTCTGAATAATGGCACCAAAACATGGCTTGGTTTCATTATTTGAGAGAACATTGGAGAAACAGATTTCTTAATTCTTCTAATCAATTCTTACCCTGACACTGTAGGCTGTCCCAGCAATTTGATTATACCTCTGACAGTACATCTTTGGAAATCTTACACAGTAGTGTTTACTGGTTTTCCACAATAAATCAAAAACTTATAGACCTTTTAAAAGTTCTGTTCAATGTGTGACTTTTTTATGCTCCTGTAGATTGATTCATCAGATACACAAGCGTAGGAGACTCAAAAGAAAGAGGAGGCTCTTTCTTTTAAAGAAATATCTCACAGTGTTAGTGAAAAGGCAATAGCCAAAATATGTCGGTAAGTTTTCAAAGAGACATTACTGGTATGGTTATGGTTTCTTTCTTGAAGTAGCTGTGAGTTTTTACAAAAACCACTGAAAGTCCGACGGTACACAAAAATTGACCTTTTTCTGCCGGAAAGCACACCAACTACACATCTTTGTGTGTGATAAAGTCTTTACAAACAGTTTAAAAGCAGTGTTCTGAAGTGGGAAAATATATGTAAAGATGGTACGGACAGTATTTAAAACGGGAAAAAACCACGGTATTTCAGACAAAACGAAAGGAAACACAACTCCAAACTCCACGCACACCGTATTTCGTGTCTGAACAACAGGCACAGGCCATTTCCCTCGGGCTACACAGCCCTCCCACCCCGCCGCAGCCCGGCCCCAGAGAGCGGGGAGGGAGATCCAGCAGGAAAGAGGCCTCTAGAAGACAACGGTGGGAGAGGAGCGAGGAAGACACAGGATCTCAGATGGCTTAAAGGCACCCGACCTAAAAGCATCAACACGGACCTTTCTGAACAACACGCCACCACAATGCACCATGACCACCACTGGTCGAGAATCCTCCCCGTCGACTAGGCGCAAACTTCAGCAAGGCGCACCTTCTTACGTCACCGCCGGCCACCACCACTTTCTCTTTTGCGCACGCGCTTGCAGAGTGACGCATGCGTGGTAAGGTGCGCGCCAGGGGAAAAGCGCGTCGTCCTGGGCGTTCTCTCCCCTGCGGCGGAGGAAAGTGTCCAGCGTTGGGAAGCTGTGCAAAGTAAATCTCCGAGGTAGCGTAAAGGAGTACGCCCGGAGTGTCTGACTCCCGAATTCACATTTTGAATGGAATGGCAGTGGAACTGGGCTGGCTTGAACTGCTAATTGAGGAAATAGGAAGTACCACAGTGAAGGAACAAAAGTATCCAACAGATATAAAACTAAATGTGTAAAAGACACAGAAACTCAGCCGGGAGGAAAGAGCCCCCAAAGCTGAGTAATTTCCAGGCAAAGCTGGAGCTTCAGGAGGCAATTTAAAACTTACGTTGCAAAAATATTACTAAAAAGACTGCAAGATCAGAGATCTGTAAGAAGAATCTGGTGTACAGTAACGCAAAGAAATTTGTCTTCAACCCCAGGTCAGTGGCTTCTAGGAAGAGTGTTAGTCCAACAGTTATTTAAAGAGAGCCTTTGTGAAAATTAGAGGTTAGGGGGCTCCCGGGCCCCATTCGCCTCTTCTCAGTACTCTTCTAGGGTGAAACAGAAAAGTACACAGGCAGACTAAACGGGTCTCACTGCACTGCTAGTTTTATAGTTCTTTTTTAACATACAAAGATTGTTAACTTCTAGTCTTTTTCACCCCTCAACGTGTCAGTCTCTTCACCTTTCAATAACTGATTATTTGGAAATACCCTTCCCTTTGCTGCTACTGGACTCCCTCTTTATCATAAGTGAAACGGTAACTGCCATTTAACCTGTAATAGTTGTGTCTTTTTCCTCTACGGAATATTTTCATCATGAATATTAAACACGATTAGATGCTTATCTCCATTTGTGTACTTATTTCTAAATCAGGAATTGTTACTCAGACCTTCTTAGTTAAGTCTTGATTTTTTTGCTGCCATTTGAATTGATAATTAGGTTTTATTATCTTGGAATAAGGTTGAGCGCCATGTACTTATTTTTTAAACGCTTATTTTTTAATGAGCAAACCCATGTTCTTTCCCATAACATATATACATACATACATATATGTGTATGAAAATAGCAGGAAATAAAAAATAAGCTGATACACAGCATCAGAATAGTGAAGATCATTGTGTACAGTAAACAAAAGAGAAAGCATAATATTTGTCTTGAACAAAACATGGTCAGAAGTCGAAGTATTTGTTATGGTTCTGGTTACCTAACAGCGAAAAGAAACATGAATCCTGAAATTGTTTCCTTTAAAATGTGCAGATAAAATTAACGTAAAATGAAGGGACCCAAATCATTATCCAGAGCTAATGCAAAAGTCATTATCTGTTGAAAGTATTACTATTTCTGCCACTGAAAAAAGAGAATACCTTCCTCATGCTTTCCAAGATTAAAACATGGATAAATCATTAAATTTAGTGGCACTTGTCATGCTAATCCTAAATGAGCCATTGGCACAAGTAACAGTTTCAGTTCAAACTTAACTCACTGTGTAGCACAGGCTGGCCTCAAACTAGCAGCAATCCTCCTGAGTGCTGGGATCTCAGGCATGCATCAGCACACCCGGCTGAGTCTCAATGTAGTTGTGATTTGCATTTCTCTGATGACTAAAGATATCGAACATTTTTTACCAGAGTGTGATGAGGCACAGTTGCGATCTCAGCACTCTAGGAAGCTGAGGAGGAGGATCAGGAGTTCAAGGCCAGTGTGGGTTACACAGCAAAGTTGAGGGCAGCCTGGATTATAAAAAAAAAATGAACTTTTAAACATAATTATTGGCCATATGATTTGTACTTCTTTTTAAAAGTGTCTGCCCATTTGCCTGTTTAGTGATTGGGCTTATTTTCAGTGTTAAGGTTTTTGAGTTCTTTATGTATTTTCGATATTAATCCTCTGTGAGAAAAGTAGCAAAACTTTCCCCCATTTCAGTTTATTCATTTATGCAACAATTTCTGAATTCCTGATTTGTCACCCACACACTCAGCCGTGTACTGGCATTTCCAGGGTTACTGGAATAACTGCAACTTTAACCAAGGAGAATAGTGATGTTAATGGCAGAAAGTAGCAAAAATTTGTTTCTACTGAAAAATTTGCTTGCTCTGCTCTTAATATGCCTTATTTTTAATTTGAAGGACAGCATTCAAAAGTTTCTTTTTTTGAAGCACTTATACAAATCCTAAGAATTAAGTTACGGTTTTAGTACCCTCATTCCACCACTTATTAGGGAAGCAAAAATATTTTAAGTTATTTCTACTATATTATTAGTCATCAGTTACTCTCTTTTCTTATATTTTTAATCATCAATAAGTATATGAATGGCAGTGTAATTATCAGAAGGGCTTTTCATAATGATCTTTCCTGCTTGTCCAAAACAAAAGTACTCAAGCAGTGGAAAGGCTGGTAGAATACTCAGAGTTCTCACTTACCTAGTTTATTTCTTTATTGCTTGTTATTAAGATTTCATAAACCAATAGCCACTAACAGTAAAATAGAAGTTTTAGGTAATTTCACCAGGAAAGAATAAAAGGAAATAAATGTGTAAATTAGCATATTCCCAATTTATTTTAAATCTTTATTACTATCACATTGTCTTAGTTACTTTTCTGGTTGCTGAGACATAGTACCCAACACCCACAAGTTAAAGGAGGAAACTTTTATTTCAGCTTACAGTTTGTAGGTTTCAGTCCATTGTTGGCTGATTCAAAGGCAGGGCAGCATGGCAGAGGAGCATGACAGAGGAGAAACAGTCTGTGGCAGAACAGGCAGGAGGCAGCAAGCGGCAGTGAAGCAGCAAGCCTCCCTTTCCCTTTCATCCCATCCAGGCTACAAGCCTTTTGGGTGGTGCCACCCACACCAAGGTGGGCCTAACCTTGATCCACACCCAGAACTATGATAAAACAATTAGAGGACAAATCCAATTCCAAACACCCTTAATCCCAGAATCACACACCCTAGATGCAGCTACCTCCATACATCCCCCATCTATGTTCTTGGGGGAACATCTAGATTCAAGCTATAACAGACACATTAATTAATCAGCTGAAATATTCTCCTCTAAAAAAATGTATTATGAATGTGTAAGTCCTTGTCCTGTGCATGTGTGACAGGACATACTACTCCATACATGGTAGGCTGCCACTTGGAAATGGAATAACATTTGTGTACATTATCCCCATTGTATAGTCTACATGGGCTTCATAGCAGACAGTATACTCTGAGAAAGTGCAGAACACATAGCTTACAGGAGTATGGTTGTGCAAGAAGAAATGAAGTTTTATGGAAAACATTGTATTCAAGAGTTACATAGAACAGTAAAATATAGTTTTTACCTTATTTCAATGTTCATAAGCATTTAAAATTTTTAAAAGCTAAATCTGTGATCATTGTATGTGTTCTTTAAATTCATATATTCATTCAATCTAGTTCTTGCCAAAACACTGAATCTTTCTTCTGAGACAAGCTCTTGCCATATAGTTCTGGCTGGCCTTGAAATCATTGTGTAGCCGAGGCTGGCCTCAAACTCATGGTAATGCTCTTGTCTCAGCCTCCTAAGTGATGGAATGACAGGTGTGTACCCCTACCCTGGCTCTGACTCTTTCATTTGGTTACTGCAGCTTGCTCCCAGAAATTCTGGTGTTCAAGTAACCAATTCTTTTTTTCGTGTGTGTGATTATCTTTTTTTCTCAAATTCTTTGTAGGTACATTTTAGGTATACAGAACATTTACATTCATCATTGGGAACTTATACCTTCACATAATGTATCTTGCTTCTTATTTTTTTCCCATTCCCCTGCCCTCCCTTCACCCCCTCCCCTCTCCCTATTTCCAAAGGCTTTGTTTCCATTGATTTCTTACCTAATATTTTTTCCTTTCTCTTCTTTCCTTTCCCCGACCCACCACCCCCAATTCTCATACCCCTTTGGACATTTTCTTCCTATTTGACATTACCAATTATTCATTTTAATCCTTATTTACACTTTCAGTTTCTCACACCAGAGAAACTATTCCGTATTTACACGTGTGTCCTATTTATTTCACTTGAGAATATGTCCTCAATGTGTATGCATTTAGCTATAAATTTCTCATTCTTTATGGATGAGTAGTACTCCATTTTATTTTTTTAAAACCCCACATTTTATTTATATATATTTATTTATTTTATAGTCTTCAGCTGATAGGCAATTGGGCTGTTTCCAAGCTTTAGCTATTACAAACTGTGCCACTATAAACATGGGTGAGCATATATCGCTGTGGTATGATTCATTTAATTCTTTTGGGAAGATACCCAGCAGGGGAATAGCTGGGTCAAATGGGACCTCTAGTCCTAGTTCTTTGAGGTATCTCCATACGGATTTCCACAGTGGTTGCACCAGTCTGCACTCCCACCAGCAGTGGAGCAGTGTTCCTCTTTCCCCACAGCCCCGCCAGCATTTGTTATTGGTTGATTTCATGATAGCAGCCATTCTTTCTGGAATGAAGTGAAATCTCAGCGTTGTTTTCATTTGCATCTCTCGAATGACCAGTGATGTTGAACATTTTTTCATATGTTTATTTGCTATTTCTATTTCTTTGTCTGAGAAATGTCTGTTCATTTCAAATGCCCATTTTTGGATTGGGTCTTTAAATTTGGGAGGTCTGATTTTTTAAAGTTCTTTATAGATTCGAGATAGTAGACCTTTGTCTGAGGAAGTGCAGGTGAAGATTTTTTCCCACGTTGTGGGTTGTCTCTTCACACTGCTGGTGGTTTCTCTTGCTGTGGAGAAGCTTTTTAGTAAGAAGAGATCCCACTTGTTGATTGTGCTAATTCAAGGGCAACTGAGGTTTTGTTCATGAAATCTTTTCCTACACCAATGTCTTCAAGAGTTCTACCTAACCTCTGTTCCAGCTGATTCAGTTTTTCTATTTTAATATTTAGATCTTTAATCCATTTTGATTTTAGTTTAGTGCATGGTGAGAGATTTAGGTCTAGTTTTAATCCTTGACAAGTTGAAATCCAACTTTTCCAGCACCATTTATTAAAGAGGCTATCTTTCCTCTAGTGA